GGGTGGATGGATGGGTGGATGGGTGGATGGATAGATGGGTGGATAGATAGATGGGTGGATGGATGGGTGGGGATGGATGGATGGGCAAGTGGGTGTGCAGATGGGAGGGGTAGGTAAATGGGTAGGTAGATGGATGTCTTTGTTCTAAATCCTCAAGCTGAAGGTCATGCCTGAAGCATGTCAGGATTCATCAAAACCCTAACAGGGAACAGCTGCCCATGGAAGCTTTCCCAAACTAGCCTAGCCTGGAAGGGTTTCCAGGAAGACACAGCACTCACCTGGGGCCACCCCACTGTAGGAAACTCCAGAGACTCGGAGGAGGGGATTTCCCTCATGGTCTTTGCCCTTCACCTTGAGATAAAATCGCTCCTTCGGAACATGGAATGGTGGCCCAGCCCACAGCTGATGGGTGGACTCATTGGAAAGGAGTTGTGTTGGCAGAGTGAGGAGGGACCTCCCTGAGCTGTGTGAGAGCTCCACAGAGTCAAGGTGACCAGGTGCCTGCAGGCCGGTAGAGTTGACCACCAGAGAGATGGGTACACCTGCAAAGAGAAGGCGGGGGATGAGTCCTGGAGTCGTGGGCTCTGCTTACAGTGTTCAGCCAGCCTGTTCGGCTCTCTCTCCTTACCCTGCCTGCTTCCTCCCTACCTCACTGTGAAAGCTAAAGGCCTGAGGTGCTGGAAGAGGTCTGTGCTGCTGTCCGTGGTCCTGAAACACCACTCCCTTCCCTCTCCTGCCTGGGTTAGCTGTATCTCTGCCTCTGCAAATCCAGACCCTGAAACAGTACGGGACTGGAAAGAATCATGTCAGTCCTGTGTCTCCTCCCCACCCATCCCCCACCCCATGCCCTTGTTTGCCACGGGGTTGGCTGTGATCAGCCCCACACGGGTACTCTCTCCCAACCTCTCCCACAAGCACAGACTCGCCTTTCAGCATTTCCTTGGTTTATTTGAGAGCTTGGGTCAGGCCTCTCCTTTCAGATGGTAACAATGACTTTTAAAGAGATGCAGAGTCTGAACATGGAATGTAAGATTCTAAACGTGAGCTCCTAGGAAAGCCACGCCTGCAAGTGTCAGGGTCAGGCCAGTGCTGCAGCATTTTGCCAATAGCACGTAGAAGCTCCCTGAGGCCAGCCACTGGCATGCAGGGGTGGTCTCCCATGGCCAGTTAATGGCATGCAGTAGCTGCTTTCCCTGGCCCAGGCATCCTGTGTCCAGTCAGCCACAGACTCCCCCCAGCCCCAGCGATCGCAGTATGGAGGCTAAATGCTAAACTTCCTATGATTTCCACTTTCTTCCCCATCCCTCTGCTTCGTCCTATCTGTCCTCCTTGAAGTCCTGGGGATTAAACCAAAGCCTCAAGGACACTTTGCAAGCATTCTACTAAGCCCTATCCCTAGTCTTATTTTTTTTAAAAACTTTGTATGCGTCTCTCCCTTTTCAGATGACTACAATGGCTTTTAAAGACATTGCGAGTCTGCATATGGCCTGGAAGAGTCTAAATGGGAATTCTGGGAAAAGCCAAGCCTGTGAGTGTCTGCACACGTGTCCATGTGCACATGCACACCACAGATGCACGTGATCATAGAGCAATTTCCACGATGTGGGTCCCAGGGATTGCACACGGTGTTGAGGCCTTTATCCGTTGAGCCACCTCTTTACTTTTTATTTTATGTCACGGTCTTGCCAGTTACCCAGCAAGCCTTAAGCTGGCTCCTCCTGACGCTGGCTCTTGGGCATCTGGGTTATGTGCCTGTGCCAGCAGGCCCTGCTTAGAGTGTTTTTTCTCAACTAGTGTGTGGGAAGGGCCTCAGTTTTTCTCCTTTCCCCACCTTCTTTCTGCAAAGCACATACCAAATGAGGTCTACAGGCTCATCACACTTCAGTGAGGGAACCTCACCTCCAAGTTCATCCCTCCCCCATCCCAGTGTCCACCACGTGATAACCAAGATGCTTGCTCCTTCACAAGCCATGGGGCGCCACCTTTGGGCAAGCCAGCAGCTCGCTGGCATCTGTCCCTCCTCTGAATTAGCAGGATGCGGATAAGAAGTGTGAGGAAACAGGGCTGTAGCCATACAGGTTTCAACAAGGAAAAAGGAGAGACAAGGTAAGGTGCTCATCTTGCAGGTGAGCACATGCTTTCAACATCCAGAACACATGTGAAAAAGCTAGGCACAGTGGCACACGGAATCCTCCTTCTGAGGCTGTAGAGACGGGTGGATTCCTGGGGCTTGAGGGAAGGCTAACCTAGCCTAGCTGATGAGCACCAAGCAGTGAAAGACCCATCTCAAAAATTTTCTGGTTGCAGGCTAGAGAGATGGCTCGACAGTTAAGAACTCTGGCTGCTCTTCCAGAGGACCCTGGTTCAACTCCCAGTACCCACATGGTGGTTCACAACTGGTTAACTCCAGTCCCAGAAGAACTGATGCCCTCATTTGGCACTGCACACACATATGGTGCCCATAGATGCAGTGAAAACTCCGGTACGCACGAAACGAACACAATTGGTGGCCAATGCCTGGGGAATGACTGCAGAGGAAGTCTTCTGACCTACACACACACACACACACACACACACGCTCGAGTACCAAACATACTTGAACATACATACACACATGAAAAGTAAAAGCAAAGAGAAATGGTGACTCAACAATAAAAGAGACAACACTGGGTCTCCCCAGGACCCCTTGGTGGCTAGAAAGAAGCTCTGGAGGAAAACGTCACCACCCGGGGCCGGTGTCAGAGTTTGTTTTTCCACCTGTGGTCTGGAACAGCCCCTTCACCTCAGCAGGAACCACTTGGTGGTCACAAATGGCTCGCACAGCCAAGCCTACCCTGCACCTCCCACCACCTCCCCAAACCTTTGTCATTCTCAGGGCCAAGGGCGGGTACCTTGCAGAGGCCACTCGATGGTGTGGTTGAGGTCCAGAGAGGGCTGCATGGAGAAGCCGGCCCGGAAGTTGATGTTGCTGATGCCTGTTATCCTCACTGAGTGGCGGCCACTGCTGTACACCTGGCACAGGCCCCCACCCACGTCACCAGGGCATCAGGTCGCAGGACCCCAGCTCCAGCCCGGACGCCACTGACCACAGCTGCCGAAGCCCCACACCTGCAGCTACAGCGCTGTCCTAGACAGACATGTAGGCCGTGCATCTGCTCCCGCAGACACAGAAGCCGAGCTTCTCCCTCTCCTTCTGGAGGCTTCTCTGTGTTCTCTGCTAACTTCTGCAGGCCCTGCCTGTCTATCTTCCTGTCGCCCTGCTTGTCTACCTTCCTGCTGCACCCTCCCTGGAGGCACTGTAGCTCTGGTTTTAAAGATGCGCAGATCTGGAACGTCAGGTGTCAGGCGCAGCCCCTGCTGAGTCACCTGCAGCAGCTGCCTCAAGGCCCTGCACCTGGTAGGTGCCCGCTGAGTGTTGGTTCAGTCAGCAGGAGCTCCTCCCGCCCCACTCCCGCCAGGCCAAGCCTGTGCTCACACCCGGCTTCCAGCATCTTCCAAATACAGCGCTCTCCTGCCGGTCCTGTCTCTCTTAGCTATACCTGCCTCCCAGTCAACCCTGCTCTAGTTACACTCTGAGCCTAGGACAGGAGTCTGAGCCACATGCCAATTGTGCTATCACTAAAGTTCTTCCCACCCCCAACTTTTCTGAACATCACTCTGAACTACTCCACTCCCTCACACAGCAAAGCGCGTTTGCTCCTCCTCTGCTCTTGACCCTGTGCTCCTGTTGATACACCCACATCACTGCCCACACACCCCAGGCTCCCCTGATGAAAACCCAGTGCCCCTACCTTGATGGCCCACAGCCCAGGGTGCTCAGGCTTAAAGGCTACGACCTTGGCTGAATCCGGAATGTTGAGGAGAACATTGAGACCTTCATCCGTCTGCAGGACCCTTCCTGTGGAAGCCCCAGGTGCCACTCAGTTCGCCCCTTCCCCAGTTTCCCAGCCCATTTCCAGGAACCCATAGCCCACCCCACCAGCCCCAAGTGTCTGACTTGGACCAACAAGAAAAGTGTCACCATTTTAAGTCCCCCATTGGTCAGTTGGTACCAGCCTTCCTGCTTCTTCAGCCACAGGGATGCCTCTCCGCCTTACATAGTGTCCCCTCACTCCTCCCTAATTTCTACAGCCTTGAGTAGAAGGCCTCTACTGCTTCTTTGTGGAGTGTAGGAGTATGTGTGAGAAAAAAAAAATATATATATATACATACACTCACTGACACCCCCCCCTTTTTTCTTTTTTGTGACAGGGTCTCTCCACTGCACTTGGACCCACCTGTCTCCACCATCCCCTCAGGCCGCCACACCTCGGGGTTTACATGGGTGCTGGGCATTCAGACTCACGTCCTCATGTTCATGAGGCAGACTGAGTCATCCCCGAGTCTCCTCCTCCCGAGGCCTTTCTGTCTCCCCCTGGCCTTCCAGCTCAGTCTTGGGTCTAAAGAGGAAGTTGACCCTGGAGCACATACCTAGTGGGTCCCGGACTTCGATCTCAGGCCCTGGCCCGCTCAGTGAGATGGTGACCTCCTTCAGGCTGGGGTCAAAAGGGATTCTCCACGTGTGCTCGCCTTCCTCCTCATGGTCTGCAGACAGCAGATGTACTTTGGAGGCCTGGATGGCCGACTCCACCCACTTTAATACCTGAGAGGAGACAAGAGAACATGAGCTAGCGGGCATGCCCAGGTTCAGCATGTCTGGCAGACTGTTGCAGCTCTAACAAGCTTCCACTGGGAGCAGAACCCACATGCTCCCCGTGAATTTGGAGGTGGCAAACAATCTATTCGGTTCCCAAGACCACTGTCCGACATCAAGCCTGATTGGCTCTTCTGCCCTCTGGCTTCTGTGTTTTCCAAACAATGCCTGTATAGAGACACCAGGTGACTCCGGGCAGAGAGAAGCAGGCACAGGCTCCTGCAGGATAGGCTTCTGCCTCTTATCTGCCACTGGCACCCGTGAGGAGGCCCCCGTGTATACCAGGCACCTGGGGGATCAGGAGTCTCCATCCTGTGTGGTTCGTGGAGCCTAACCAGGACTGTGGGGACCTGTATCCATCAAATAAGGTGAATTAAAAATCTGCAAAGTGTGGGGTCACTGGGTCAAGCGCTTGCCTAGTGTGCAGGAAGCCCTGGGTTTGATCCCCAGCACTGAACAAACTTCCTGCGCCACACAATTCAAGGAGAAACCCTGAGTGTGACTCCTGCATTCAAAAGGCCAGCGCATCCCTTCCAAATGCACAAAGCCTTTCTGGAAGAACGCCCTCTGCTAAATGTGGAAGGAATGATGCAATTAGGAAACCATCATCTTGCAACGACTAATGAAATAATTGTTTCGGGCAAGGATCCTCCTTGGATGGTAAAAGCTCAGGGCGTAAGATTGATGGGGACTGAGCACCGACTGGAGCCGGGGTGTTACTCCACAGGCACGATGGGGTGGGAAGGCACAGCCTTCCCGCACACGGCTGCCTGTCACCACTGTAGCCATGACACCATTTGTCATCAGCTACAGTAAGACAGCAAGGTGCTGTCTTTCTCCTGATGGGAAGCTCAGAAGGGAGTCACAGCACCAACCCCTCCACACACACCAGCCCTCTCTTACCCACCGACTGGGGCAAACTCAGGTTAGACAGGAGGGAGCATGTCGGTGACACCAGGGGGGCAAGGACTAGAATCTAGAACACAGGACACAGCAGAGCTTCTTTAGCTGGTGTCATGACAATGAGCAGATGGCCCTAGGCTTGAGGGGACTTAACAGACACAACAATTGAGTGGGGCAGGCAGCAATAATTAAAACCTGAGCCACAAAAGTGTCTTCAGAAAGCATTGTGAAGAGCTGGGGATTAAGCACTTGCATGCAAGTGTTCAGATTGCCAGCATCCCAGTAAAAAGCTGGGTGGGTGTGCTTGGGAGGTAGAAACAGGAGATCCCTGGACCAAGCTGGCTAGCTGGACCAGCCTAACCTGGAAACTCCAGGTGCCAAAAGGGACCCCACATCAATAAACAAAGTGGAGAGAGAGCACCTCTGATGTCAATTCATACCTTCACATACACACAACACAAATGTACCTCACACACGTGAACACACATATACATATACGCACACATGAAAAAAAAAAACCAAAAACCAGACAAGACATTTTGAAGCCAACTGGGGAAAATCAAACAAGGATTTGGTGCTAGATCATGGTAGCTGTGGGGCTTAGGGGAGGTTGTTTGTTTGCTTGTTTGATTTTTGAGACAGGGTCCATATAGCCCTAGCTGGTCTGGAACTTTCTTATGAGACCAGGTTGGCCTTGAACTCACAGAGATCGGCTTGCCTCTACTTCTGAGTGCCAGGATTAAAGGTGTGTGCCACCACGTCCCACTGTTCATGGTAATTTTAAAAACTAAAAGTCATTTTAAAATGATAATGGTGTCATGGTACACCTGGGTGTGATGTTTGCTTGTCAATGTCAGTTGCCTATAAATGGCTTCCTGGAATGCCGCCTGAGAAGAAGAGGTTCTGTGATTGATTAGCAATGTCTGCCACAGATATGGGACTAGAAAATAGTGGCTACCTGCAGGCCATTCTGGCCCTAATTGGCAAGCCTTCTGTTCTATCTACCGTGTGGCTTTTCACAGAAGGGAAGGGACTTGGGCAATCTGCCTGAGATTTTTGAGAAGGAGCATGTTTTACTGACCAAGTTATAGCATGTGCTGTGAGACCTCAGTTCTCACAGGGTAAGGATTCAACACTTCCCCTTCCCCCGTACTTGGAGATACTTCATTGTCCTGCCTTTGCCTACTTTTCTGAGAAACATGTGTCTTGAAAAGGCTCCACCTGGCTGATGGACCAGGATGAAGTTCCTTGCACTGCCAGATGGTGAAGGAGCAGCTCTGTGCCTGTTCCTCAGGTCATACAGTGAGGTCCACAGAAGATTGGAGACAGAAAAGCTGCCTCAGGCAACGATCACCCAGACAAATTACATCAGCTACTACAGTGACCGGGTTGCTGCAGGCTGTTGTAGAATATTCTGGTGGAGAGACGGTACCCAGCAATTCAGACTACCAAACCACAAAGGGGGCTGGGACATGGACAGCACTGTAATGACCCCAGCACGAGGCAGCCTGCCCTAGGGTTTGGAGGGGAGTGTGCCTTTCTTGCTCACAGAAAATCTAGACCACCTTGTAAGGCCAGGCCCAGCGTCAAGGCCTTTTGGACATGGCTGTGCCCTCAGGGCTCCAGAGCTGAATTGGGGAGCCTTCTGAGCAGAATGCCTTCATTAAGCAAGCACAGTGTTTATTTGGCGAGTGTGATGGCTTCCAGATGTCTGTGGGGTGGGGCCTGGGATAGAGCCATGTGCTGGCCTGAGTTCTGGTCGATGATGGAGAAGGAAGGAAAGAATCTGGCCTTGCTGCTCTCCGCCAGATGACTGCTGCTGGGCCCTTCATGGCTGATAAATTATCCCCAGAGGCACTCCCAGGATGCTTGACAGCCAGGGCAGCTGAGGAAGCTGAGGGAACTAGGGAGAAGAATGGGGTTCACAGCTACAGATGGAGAAACTAAGGGTTTGGCCTGGAGTCACAGAGGGAGCGCCCACCCTGTCCCAAGGCTCTGCCCCTTGCCAGATGCACACCCCAGCTTCTCTACCCAACTCTGCCTTGTTGAGAACACTCTTGAGGTGTGCCCCTACTCTTCTGAGTGCTTCAGTGGAGGGGAGGGGAGAAACATCTGCTTACAACCAGAAGACTGGGAGGGTTCAGCTGTGGTCGGCTCTCACCTAGTCTTCCCAGATGCCCAGCACCATGCCCAGCACTCTCCTTTCACCCTGGCCACCACCTCAGGAGGCAGAGGGTTCCACCAGCACAGCTACACACAAGGGAGAGAGCGCGAGCAAGCAGGAAGCATCCTGCCCAGGGGGACTACACATAGGGCGTAAGGTCTGCCTGAAGGCGACAGAACTGTGATGGCAGCAGCCCAAGCCTCAACCATTCTGCTACCCTGAATGCTGCTGGGAAGGATCTAGGGTGGGATGGTCTCAGGTCCCTCCTGCTCCATGCACCAGAGCCTCCTGGAGGGAGCTTCCCAAGCCCGTTGTTACAGAAAGCAAGTCACCTCTCTTCAAAGGGATTGGCAGAATCCGGGCCCCTTATCAGGTGTGCCTGCTGCTGCTGGACAAGAGATATGCCCCAACCCCCAGAACTGACTACGCTGAAGAGTGAGATGTGGAGTGGGGGGGGGGGGCGGTGGGCCGGGTAGTGGGAAGTGAGACACTCAGTGCTCTTCTGGGAAACCGTAGGGTGACTTCCCAGCTCTTCTGTCCCTGCCCATTCCTCTGTCGCTCTCCTACATCGCCAGCTTTTGTAGCTGAGTGTGGACTGGGCAGAGCCTGTGGGGGCCACAAGTAGGATGCTATGGTCCTGCCCAAAGCTTGATTTTCTAAAAAGTGCCCTCCCTGGGCCGTGGTGGTGCAGGTCTTTAATTCCAGCACTGAGGAGGCAGAGAAAGGCGGATCTCTGAGTTGGAGGCCAGCCTGGTCTACAGAGTGAGATCCAGGAGAGCCAGGGCTACACAGAGAAACTCTGTCTTAAAAAAAAAAAAAAAAAAAAAGCCTACCTCGGGCCTGGGACCACGGCTCAGTAGATGGAAGTGTGTGATGTGTACGCATGAGAACCTGAGTTCCCATTCTCGGAACCATCTAGAATCCGGAGCATGAGCCCAGTGCACAGACAGGCAGTGTCGGAGCTCACTCACCAGGCAATGTAGATGACCTGGTTACTTTGGGTTTTAGTGGAGACCAACTAAGGAAGATGCCCAGTACTGACCTCCAGCCTCCACATGCACCCACATACAAATACACATAGTCACATACACCACATGCCCTAGGACAAACCTAAGGTCACACTGCCTGCCTCCAAATTGGTCTCCTAGTCTCTAAGTCAGAGCTCGAAGTCTCCTTGCCAGGGAGAGAGGTTCTTCAATTTCCTTCATATACTCTGGAACAAAGTCCAAAAAAAAAAGGGGGGAGAGGGGTTCCTTCTGCCTGTGAGGTCAAGTTTTCAACCAGAAAGAGCTAAGTGTCCCCAAGACAGAGGGCCTCTTGCTTGGACTGGCTGCCTCCTCCTGGGTGGTGCATACAGCAGGTGCTTGATAAGTGACCACAGTACAGAGTATATCTATCCTGCTGCTTGGAATGTACTTTGTGAAGGTCAAAGCATTTTATCACATGCCTCTTCAAAAGTCTGAAGGACTTTTCCCAGCTAGAGCCCCATGGCTTGGCTTCCCTGGGGGCTGACCACAGCCTTGGCTGTCCCAGACACTTTCTCCAGCTTGTTGAATGTCTGGGAATGTCTAGAAAGAAGCAACCCAGGGCATGAGGTTCTCCATGCTTGGGGCATCCATGCCACCATCCGGCGCAGCCCAGCCCCGCCTGCTTCAGTGGTCCTGCCAAGGGAGACGCCCACAGCAAAATGCCAATGGGCTCACCTGGGGTGCATCGGGGCACCCTGGCAAGCTCTCCTCAGCAACTTGCCTCACCTGCCTGTCTGATTAGCCTCTGGAAGTGGCTCCCCTAAAAGTAGGGACAAAACTGTCCCTCCACTCTGAAATGCCTCCCGCCCTCATGTGGGCTTAGTGCCAGCATGGGCCGACAAGCCAGAAACTAAAGCCCGTTGTGTCACAGAGAAGTATAAACGCCATCTGTCAACAGGGAGCGAGGCATGCTAATCTAAACACGGCCCCAGAGACCAGCTCTCTCAGCTCATAAATACACAGCTCACAGAATCCATCCTAGAGGCCACTGCCTGTCTTGGAGACACCTTCTTTCCCAGAACAGGAGACATGGGGACCCAAAGCGCTCTGTCTCACGGCCACTTCCTGGCACTTGTTACTCCTTTAGGTGACTGCTTGAGGTGCCCTTCATGGCCCAGCCCTGAGGGCACTGATAATCCAGTAGCATTAAATAATCACACAAGCACAAAATGACAATTCTGTAAAACAGTGCAGGAGTTGTGGGCTGGGAAGGGATGTGGAAAGAGATTTGACCTGGGCAGGGAGCTGAAGATGGTTTCCTGGAAAGGCACATATATCAGGATGTTAGGAGCTGAGAGATGGAAGCCTGAGCAGAGGCCCTGGGGCCAAGGAGCAGGAGAGAGGCTGGCTGGGCTGTGAGGAGTGAGCAAAAGGAACATGCAGGCTGAGGTTCTGATAAGAGTCTGGGTGTGCAGGAGGAGACAGCAGGAAGGACATATGGGTCAGCTTTGGGGTAGTGTCCTGTGGTACCCACGGGTCATTCCATATAGGCTTGAGGAGGCTGGTGTCCATATGAGTGACAGCTGCAGCTCTGCCCAGCATTCTGAGCATAGCTTGCAGTCAGCTAACACTGATTTGCAATACAGAGGGAGGCCTCTCGATTCCACTAGAGATGGTGGTTAGATGCTGGTAGGATGGGCACAGTAGAGGGAAGACGGGCTTTGGGGAGGAAGTGGATGTCATTTGGCCAGGGAGCGGGACAGATGTCTGGTATGCTCTGGGCTTAATGGATCTGACAGCTGGACCCTAAGTTGGTGGTGTCTGAGTGAGCCCTTCCCCGAGTGAGCCCCTCCCCTGATAAATCCTGACCCAGTCTGTGGCCCTCTGGCCCCCGACTCTGGGATAGAAACTACCTCCCAGTCATCCTTCCGACAGAGTTTCTCAAGTTCTGGCTCTGGTGTGGGATGTGGGCAGCACCCCAAGGTGCTCCTCCAAGCCTCACCCTTTTACTTTCAGGGTGTTTCTCAAGTACTTGCTGGGGTCCAGGAGCTCTGCCGAGATGCTGCAGAGCCTGGAGGCGGCTGCTCAGCACCGCTCAGCACCACTCAGCAGGCCAGGCTCCCATGCACGCCCTGTGGGTGAGCTGCAACACCGTCCCCCACAGGGTGGCAGGCTGCAGGAAGCCTTCTGTGGCGGCTCACCTCTGACACCTGCTGCTTGTCCAGCTGGAACACCTGCCCAGAGCTAGTGGAAGCGATCTCCTCGTAGGCCAGGTAGCCAGGATGGGTGCGGTCACCACAGTCCCCCGTCAGCACGAAGACCACCTGGAGGAGGGGCAAATAGGCCTGTGCTTTCCCTTGTAGCCAGGAGATGGGGGGGAGGCAGGACCTCAACCACGGGAGACATGAGAATAATGACAGTGTCCTGCGCAGGGGATCAGGCGCTGATTCAGGGCAGGGGCTTGAGAAATGAGGGACACAGCGGGTGCTTCACAAAAAGGATGAAATCTGTGACAAAGAAGGCTTCCAAAGTGGACTCCTTTTGGAGTGGCCCTGGGGGGCTACCATGAGTGCTCTGAAAAACTCTAGAATATTCTAGACATGACAGCAGCTATGTCATCCCAAACCTTGAAGTTTTCCCTAAGAGTAGACACACCCTTCTCCCCTCTGCAACCGTGGGAGCAAAAACAAGAGGGAGAAGTCCTGACCACAAGGACAAGGGTTCAATGAACTGTAAGGACCAAGGGCTGAGGATGAGGGTGGAGAAGCATTGCACTGGCTGGCGGGAAAGGAAAAGCGGCGGGGCTGCACCAAAAGCAAACCACACCAGGAAACGGGAGCCCATCGGCCCAGAGCTTGCAACCACGCTGCTTTCAGACAGGTGTGGCTGGGGCCAGCAGGGCTGGGCTCCAGGGCCACGGGAGGGACACCTGGCTTCGGGCCCCCTCGTTCGGCCTCCTGCATGGCTGCCCACCTCACGCCTAAAGCTGGCCTCTCACCTGCGACTGCTTCAGCTGCAGGAGCTGCAGGAGCTCGTTCTTCTTGTGGTAGTCCTTGGCACGGGCGTCCGAGAAGACGTAGATGAAGGAGCCAGGGTTGGCAACCTCCACGGCAGCCTTGATGGCCCCCACACTCATCTCCGGGCAGTCACCACCTCCCTGAAGGGTTGAAGCGTGTCTCAGCGGCTGCCAGCCACCTTGTCTACAAGGGGGCAGCCTGGGCAAACCTCTAAAACCAGTGGGAGTTGGGAGTCACCTCACACCCCACAGTGTGGCTTGCTGGGTCAGGCTGTGTTCCCTGTTTGTCCCTCCCAGCACCTGCCCTGTTGTGACTTTAGACAAGGGTCACTCTTACACTGTGTAAGCGACAGTCCCATCTCGTAGAAGGTGTGGAATATGGGGATGGAGCAGCTGAGGCATGAGCAAACATTCAGTGTTTGCGTATGTATTCATGTGTATGTACAAGTATGTGGGGATGATCATATGCATGTATGCAAGTGTGTGTGGAGGCCAGAGGTCTGGACTAAGCTGCCCCTCAACACACTTCAACACACACCCTCGCTGGAGCAGCGTCTCCCCTCACTCATCCACTAAACCAGCACCCACTAGGCACTAGGGCTCTGGGCAGTATTTGTTTCATGGACTGAGGGAAGGCGCCCAAGAGGTACTGGCTTCCAGGACCCAAGCTGAGGTGTGGGCTGCAGACTGAGGGAGAGGCAGGGCCAGGAGGGAGGGGACGCCATCTTGGCTCCCAGGTAGCGCAAAGACTTTGGGCTCTGTCAAGGAAGAGGAAGAGCAATAAAGAAGGTAGGCAGCCCACCTGAACGTAGAGTTCTCTCAGCTCTCTCTGAAACACCACTGGGTCTGCTGTGAGGGTCACCGGGCCAATATCTGTGGGAAGAGAGAGATTCAGGTGGGTTTCCCTGAGCAAAGAAGGGCCCAGAGCAAACCCATTTCCCATTTCAACAGTGGTCCCAAGCCCTCTCTAAGAACCCCCCACTCTGCCATCCTACCCATTCCTACTCTTGAAGGGAAAGGGATGCTGGGAAAACAGGAACAGGAAACAGTTCCTCCATTCTGGAACACAGCTGCCAAAACCAAGTCAAGCAGTAAGCATGAAGCTTCTCAGAAACTCCATCAACATTTCAAAGGGGCAGCAAGGAAGAGGCGCAGATTCACACACTGGATGTGGCGCACAGGACGGCCCTCCAACCCTGGTGGAACTCGGGGCCACCCCACTGCCTCAGGAGAACACACACTTCTGAGAGATTGACAGCTAATGATCTGCAGACCGGGCCATTTTGCTCACAGCAGTTTAAGCAAGAGAAATGAGAACACTGGTGCCCCCAAAACCTTCTGCTCAGGTGTACATAACAATCAGGTCCCCAATGGCTCCAAGATGGAGGCAATGTTCTTGCACCCTGTTAACTGCCAGACAGATAGGGTCCATCCGGGTCCATTATGGAGTCCAACAGCTAAAAGGTGACTTACAGGTGAGCAGCGTATACAGTGTGGATACTGTGCAAAGCGTATGACTCACTTCCTGGGGAGGACAAAGTAGGGTGCTATGAGACTCGGTCCTGCTGCTCAGGATGGTATAAGGTCTAAAACGAGGGAAAGGTTTCTAGGATTTCCTATGTGATAATCTTGGCTCTTCATGGTTATTGGGAACTGAAGTACAGAAGGTGAGGCTGGGTATAACGGGGAGCTACTGTGATCAGCCCCCAACTCAGCAATGAAACAGGTGAAGCCACCAGGTGAGTGTGCACGGGCCTCACATGAAGGAAGCTGTGGGAAGAAGCCAGACTTGGGTGTGTGCATGCCCCATGCCTCCCTTGGTAAGAAGCCAGTCAGGGGTTGCCTGTAGGGTGGAGGGGTTTGAAAGGGGCAGAAGGACCAGCCGAAGGGACAGCAGGGAGCCCACCATGGAATGTGGGCTCCATGGTGTGTCGTCTGTGGAGGCCACACAGCGGAGATTCATGCATCCTGGCATCTGTGGATCTGATATATTTCAACAGCCTCTGGGCTCACACTTGTGCAGTGACACTTTGTCCCCTAGGCCATTGTCCAGCCCCTGGTCGTTTCTGCGCCAGATAATAACCCAGGTTATTTAAAATACAGCTAGAGAAAAAGACAAGACAGACAGACAGACAGATGCTAGATAGGTGAAAAAATAGATGATGGGTAGGTAGATAAGAAGATATGCAGATGAGATAGATAGATAGATAGATAGATAGATAGATAGATAGATAGATAGATAGATAGAT